CTTAGAAGAGTGGGTCATCTGCCAAAATCAGTCTTATCTTGACAAATACCAGAACCCCGCCCACCCACCCTTATTTTCTTAGAGGATATGTCATTTACAAAAAGCAGTCTCATACTTGACAAGATAAGATTGGTTTTGGCAGATGACGTATTCTAAGAAAATAAATAGTGGGTGGGCGGGACTAGTATCTTTTCTTAGAAGAGTAGGTCATTTGCCAAAATGAGTCTTATTTTAGCAAATATTAGCCCGGCCCACCCGCCTTTTATTTTCTTAGAGGGTACCTTATTTGGCAAGTACTAGGCCCGCCACCCACCCTTATTTTCTTAGAGGATATGTCATTTACCAAAATCAGTCTCATCTTGACAATTATTAGCCCCGCCCACCCACCTTCTATTTTCTTAGAAGATCCGTCATCTACCAAAATCAGTCTTATCTTGACAAGCACTAGCCCCACCCACCCACCCTTATTTGCTTAGAGGATATGTCATTTGAAAAAATCAGACTCATACTTGACAAAATAAAATTGATTTTGGCAGATGACCTATTCTAAGAAAATAAAAGGTGGGTGGGCGGGGCTAATACTTTTTCTTAGAAGAGTAGGTCATTTGTCCGCCCCGCCCGGGCTTTGTTTTCTTAGAGAGTAGATCATTTGCCAAAATCAATCTTATCGTAGCGAGTACTACTAGATTTTTCAGTTTTTAGATTTTTCAACATTCGAAGTTTTCAATTTCGCAAGTACTAGCTCCGCCCAATCAGCTTTTATTTTCTTAGAACAACAAGTCACCTGCTAAAATTACTCTTATCTAGCAAGTACTGTGCTAGATAAGAGTGATTAATGTTTGAAAAATCGTCCGTTGAATTGAAATTTATTATTCCATGGAGAAATCCATTAATCAGATATCTATTTCCAGCTTTTATTCGCAATTGTTTTGTGTAGAATTGTTCAAATTACACAAAGGGTTACATAAGTGGAACACTTGGTTCAACTAGTATTCAACAAAACTGAAAGCACGTCTTTTAAAATAATTTAGAAATTTAGTGCAAGTCAGGAAGAGTTGACTGTATATTGTTTGTTTCGGGAGCAAACCAATGTTTTATGTGCAACTTTTGATGAATTTTATTAGAATATCAGAATAAAAAATTTTGAATGCTAAAGGCTTGTAAAAAAATCAAATGAAACTTTGTGCGATGCATTGAAAAAATATAATGATCAAACTGAATATGTATACAAACCCGTCATTCTAAATGAAATAAAACATTTTGAAACAAGATAGCTTCGAAAACAATTCCGTCTATAGGAATAAAGTAAAAAGCATTAGCTGAATCTCACAACAACTTCTAAGAATCACTTGCAGTTTACTTATGTTTCAACAGTAGTCAGGGAGCATTGTTGGGGTCCATTTTAGGTTACGTTAAATATCTGATGTTTTTTCTCACGACTACTATCGAAAGTTGACAATTTCACATAATCAAGATGTCACGAAATTTGGCTCTAACCTACGCGTGTGATAGTACACATATCGCACAGCGATTTACTTTCGCGCGGGTTCAACATTAAAATAGTTGGTGGAGTAATTCCCATGCTCATCACTTGCTGAATCATAGTTTTGCGAAAAAAAGGTGGAATGATTTTCTTTGGTATATTCTTGTTAAATGAAATCAAAATAATAAAAATCCGCAACATTTATTTACGAAGCTCTTTCATAGTAGAACAGTGTAGTTAATAAGTAATGAGATATCGAGGAGCACGCTTATTGACTCAAGTTGTATATACAACACAAAAGATATTTAAATGTAGGTATTTCCACGCTGGAGCCGAAATTAGTTTTATGTTGTGACACTTTTGATATACATACAGCGAGTAAAATAATAAGTACCTCTTATTAATGGTTAGTGCAATACTGAATCAACAAATATTTGTTTATATCTGAGATAATTTAATATGTAAGTTACCATAGCTTAAGGGGCGTGTATTCGATAAACGCAAGGGAAGCAGCGTTTCCCCAACGTTCGAGAATTTAAATAGAACTTTGTTATTGAACCTAGATATTCACCGTTTAAACGTTTAATACATAGCTCTCTTTAAAAGTTTTTTATTGAATTAGTATTGTAAAGCACCGAAATAACGAGGAACTCATTTGTAAAATTTTTTAACTTTCTAAGATGTCTAGAAATATACTTAGGTATATTATATTATATATAATTAAGTAGTCTTGCAGTATTTTAAAGTTTCCAAGAGAGACATTCTGATTTCTCCAGTCAATTTTGATTAGAGATTTATGATCTTGTCAACATGTTACACAGTTTTTTATTTTATGAAAATTACTAGTTGAAGTTTCAAAATAAATGAAGAAATACTACGAAATATGTTCTAGAATATGAAAGCAAGAATGCGAGGGTGTTTGCATAGCTGAATAAAATTCAACTTTTTTGTATTATTATAAACAATTCTCAATATTAATTTAAAAAATAGAGTATCAGGTAAGTTCAAGTAAATGTAACTTTTTGTTTCTGTTAAAAAAATCAAAAAATTAATAACCTAATATGCAAATAAATACAACATTATTAACAATAACCAAGATATAGTCATTTGGTCTGAAAAGGGCGGAAAAAATCAGTGCCTACTTAGATGAATGCCGTGTAAATATTTTCACAACATATAATTAAAAAAAATCGAAAGCAGGCACACACCCATATTCCATTTTATTATGCTAATATAGTATCAACTGCCACATAAAACTAATTACATAATATAACAAAAGGCACAACATAAACTAATTAAGTTCAGCTCTCATAAAGCACCATTACATGGCAATAAATTGTTTGTATGTTGAGTTTTATAAAACGGAATATATTAAACAACCACTGCACACTAATTTTCACAATGTATTGCATTATTACTACATTAAAACAACAAATAATAGTCGAGTATATTCTTGATATTTCCCCCACCGTAAACAAAAATGTAACCTCCCGTTTAGCCATTCTGTTTTAACGGGCATACATTCGCCGAATTCGTTTCCAATATCCCTCCGAACTCCCAGAAAGCATAAAGCCCTATCGTTTCAATCACAATACTCTTTCCTGTCCAAGAGCAAAGCTCGGCAATTAATTATTAATTAAATAGGCAATTTTGTCGGACGGTGTCGCCAATGCGTGCAAGTTGAATATTAAATGGGTATCATTCATCATGAGAACAAGGGTTACTTTTAATTTGTGTAATCTGACTTGTTACATTGGTTAACCACAGCGTAAGGGCTCTTTGAATGCAATTGAGGAGGGTCTCTCATTGATTGATATCGTAACCACATACAGCCCTTTACCTAATTCCAGTCACATTTATTTCGGATTCCAACGTCATTCAAAACGTTTTGTGTACACGGGTTAAGGTGTGGGCGTGTGTTGATTTTACTCTTTTCTTATTCAGGTTTAGTTGTTTGTAGGGTAGTGTAACCAGCCTAACTAGGCTGGGGCGTGAGTTATATAAAAAAATAATATTTTGAAAAATTAACTTATCTTTAATCGGGTAGCGTGTTTTAATCTGGTCTTCTACCTGAGAAGTGTTAATCACACATCACAGAAAAATGGGAATTCTCTTACCTTTCGAAACTTCCCTTTTCGCTGCTCGAGGGCACGGAGTCACTCACTAGTACCGCTGTTTCAATGCACTATTATTTTAGACGCAAGGGTCGACCGCAAAGTCCGCAAAAAGAAAGTCAAACGTAGTTGAAAATCGGTCACCCTTATTTATTTACACACACTAATAAATGAATCAAAAATTTACACAAAAACCAAAAGGAACAAGTGGATCACCGCTCACGGTGACTTCCACAAATTTAGAAAATAAAGCAAATGAAAATTTAACACTGAACCAAAAATGAATACTAAGACACTTTGAAGCAAAATTTAAAACAAAGAACGCGACGAGAAGGAACGAGGTGCACACTACAAAATCCCGACCAGAGAACTGACAAAAATTGACCAAACTACTCTTTTTATAATTTCGCCAAGAGTGGAGACTCCACCCGACGTCAAGGGGCTAACAAAGAAAAACCAATGGGATGAAGAAACCCCCTGTGTTGGAAAGAAGTGCTTTCTCGTTCTCTCTCGTCTATACCAGCAAACCGCTCAAATCGCCGTCGATTTACATATTCTTATCAAAAGTCCCTGACAATATCATTTACATTATAAAATAACTCTATCGAACAGCTTTTTGGAGTGGCCACTGGCTCGCGACTTAACTAGGATAGCCAGACATAGATCTCGAACCCATCAAACGTTCTTTTACTTATGACTCGGCTGTTTCTCACAGGTGGAACTGCAAACTTTATTCCACCTGTGGTAGGCTAGATCTATGTCCGTCATCCATCCGAATTTCCAACCTTTTGTTTTCTCAAAACATCTGTACACAGTTATTTACAAAGTGAGGAATCGCATCACGCCATTTCGATAACGGGATCTCTCAAACAAAGCCCTTCTCTGCCTCTGTCCCCATCCATCATGGTCGCTATAAAACTGTGCCGTTTCTTGAAATTCGACAAAAGGGCTAGGCACGCTTGAAACTCAATTTACTTTTTTAACGACTCCCTCGGAAAAGATCGGACATGTGGTACTATAAAGTTAACCCGAGGGTCCAGTGCCACATGCAGAGAGGACAGGATATAGCTAGATGGGACAAAGGAAGTATATGGATCTATTTGTTGGGATTTTCTGGGAAGGTTTGGAAGAAGTGATTTTTAAGGGGTCGTTAACAAGAATTTCGACCCATGATGAACAGCCGAGACAAATCAGCTCGCGACAATGACCTTTTTGAGGTTGCACGTGCACTCGTACAAATGCACTTGTTACAATACCCCCTCCTTAAAACGAATCAATTTTTTTCCCATTACCTAAATAAATTGAGGCGTTCCCTCTTACATAATTACATCCGTCGCCAGGTTGACAGACTTCCAAAAATTACAGGAGCATTCGGAACTTTCGTTAGGTCTACAATCCAGTACCTATTTCGGCGTTATTTACAATGATCATTATCGGCAACCATTGCTTTGATAATAATCGACACATTCATACTCGAGTCTCGAACATCAGGAATTACAAGTCGTTCTCGAGAAAACCTCGGTGTTCCGCGTTGAAACATCCATCTGGGACGGGTTGGTTGGTGATGAAACGGTGGAGTCCGGCCTGCTAGGTCTGCTGTTGATGAGTTGATCACCTGCAACAATACACACAAGGAAATATCTGGCGTTATCATACTGATATGCTGACCTGATCAATTTTTCCTTGTCGCTGGTGACTCTCATTGTGACCGTGGCTTTTCCGATTCCACGACAACCGGTGGTTGATCTCATCGTCCTCTTTCTCGCTTCTGAGCGCGCTTCCTGACTCCATTAGTTCACTCGTGTACGACATCATATTCGGCTCCTACTGGTCCATGGTTCATCTCTGACTGGGCCTTGGCTACGAGTGTGTCTCCTGGTAATTCCTGTCTGTTTGGCATTGACTCTACGAGTCGCATAATTGACACAATTTCCGTGCGGGTGTTCCTGGGACTGAAATTCCTAGCATATTTCTCCTCACTTCCGGTACTTGTAGCCTAGCTATCGATACTTATCTGAAACATACTAAGATTAGCTTTTTCTGCACGAGACTGTGGTTGACTCTTGGTACTCTAGACCATGTGTCTTTTCTTCATTTAAACCTCGGGACTATGGATGGGACTGTTGGATTAGCTAAACTTCATGCAAAACAACATGCAAATTGCTTCTACTAAATTACTGGGCATTACAAATCGCTGCGTTTGGCTGTCTTCGAGCATTCTCTCGATGCGATCGTGCATCGCTCGCTTGCGGACGAACAGGACTCGGTACGGCGGCTTCGCGATCGGTTGGGCATCTCCTGTATAGATACGATGCTTTACTAGGCTCCTTGCCATCATCGGTCTCCCAAATGTCCTGAAGATTTCCGGACAATCTCTCAGAACTGAATCTAACTTGGCCCGTACTTGCGGCTGGAGAAAAACTTCAGGCCTACCCTATCGACCTGATGGGCGTCTCTGGAACCGCAATGTCCAGTGCTAGACGACCCCTCAACATCCGGCTCCCTCACAGAGGTCACGGTTAAAATTGGCGTGTGTCGTTTGATGATCAGAGGTGTTGGGTTTATATTCAAGATTCTGATGACTATTGTTCTGACTGATTGATCGGTGGTTGGTTGTGGCACAGTCGCTATGCTGCGTGCGATGCAAATATTGGGGTTGAGATGGGGGACTGGCTCGCAGATTACAGTTCCTGCAGGAACCCGGGTGTTGACAGGAATCCTGCAATCGCAGCCGTGAAATCCTGGTATTTCTATGTCTTCTCTTGTGCTGAGCAGGTTCGGGTGCTTTAAGCTATTCTTCGAGCCCTCGCGAACTTTGAAACCGGCCGAATCTCTCGGTTCGGCAGCACTTGGAAGATTTTCGTGACGGTTTTCCGGGTAGTCATCAGAATCGTCCGGTCTATTGTTTTCCAAATTCATACGGATGTGCCTCCCAGGCTTACCTGCTTGACTGCTGGGGTTGCTACCAACAGCACCGTGTGGGACCGAACTATCCCCTTGTAGCGGCAACTCAAGTCCACATATCCAAAAGCGTTTCTTCCCAAAATCGATCCGCGGTTTGAACTCGTCCAAAAAATCTAACCCAATGAGTCCGTCGGCTTCATACTTTAATTCTTCGCCGCAAATGACAAACGAATGCGAAATTGCCTTATTCCCTAGATCGAAAGTTATGTGAGCTTCTCCATGATTTTCTAACTTGTTTCCCGAGATGTCGGTGAGAAACACTGTGTTCTTGTGCGACACAGGGAGTGACAAACGTTTTATAATACTAAGTTTGACCAGCGACACGGATGCGCCACTGTCCAAAAGCCAAGTTGTTGGGTGGTTGTTGGTTTTTAGTTTGATGTACATGGCCGAATTAATCTTCAGAATGACAGAATTTAAACTTGTTTCGGCTAATTGCAACGCAGTTCCGAGGCCTCTCTGGAGTTTAAAGAGCACTCCTTGGTACTGTGCCTGCCTATCGAGACGCAATGGTAACAAATTGGCCTCTCCGTCGGACTATTACAACCTCTCGCCACATGTCCAACTCCGAGACAGTTCCAACAACGTCCCTGCATTTTCGGATATCTCTGGTTGAACGGCGTTGGGGCTTCTTTTCCTGGGGCTGGTCTACGTGGCCGTGTCGTGTTTCCATTGTTTCTTGTTCTTCCGGTTCCACTTGCATTGGCGTCTTCCGCCTGAACTGCTCTAATGGAACTTCTAACTGCTTCATAGCAATTTTCTTCCATTTGTCTTCCGATCACTGCTTCGTAGTCCTCGGCTATCGCTATGGCTTCTTCGATTCTGTAGTAATCACCTGTGCTTAGTATTTTGTTGGCTAGCCTCAGGTCGATGCCTTGTAAAAATTGTTCGACAATCATCCGGTCTCTATGAAACGTTTGCGCTGTTGTTAATACATCTTCCGGGAATACTCGATTAGAAATGACTTTCAACCGATGTACGTACGCTCCTAGTGTCTCGTCTGACTGTCGAATGCACCGAGCTAATTCCCTTCTCGCTTCTTCGCGGCTGTGTGGCTTGCTGAAAAGGCTTTTCATCCACGTTCGGAATCCTTCCACAGTCTGAGGACGTTCCGACAACTTTAGTGCCAAATAGTACTCTTTAGCACGACCACGCAGCTTTGTTTCTATCACCTGCAGAGTAACCGCTCTAGACCACTGATGTTGTTGTGCTACAAACTGAATCGCGTCAATGAACATGTCGTAATCGATTCCTCCCGTGTAGTTCTCGATTCGATCGACGACTTGCAATCCCGTAATCGACGCTCTTAATAGGTAGGTGTTGACGTCTTGCGGATTGTTTGGATTACCGTTGGGGCTGGCACTGTTCGTGATAGGTGGATTCCGCATTTGGTCAAGTTGCCGGCTGTCACTTGCCAGTAAATCGGCCTGTGCGTCGTATTGTGCCTTCATCGAGCGTAGCTCGCTCTGCAACGTTTCGATTGTTTGTTGTGTGGTTTCTCTAGAGGTTCCAGGGTCTTCTTCGTCGAAATTAATTCTATCTCCAATGATGTTGTTCGTTGGATCGTGGAGGTTAGTCATGGTGATTTAATGCGGAGCAAATGTAAGGAGCGAAATTAAAGAATAGAGTCGCCGTGTAATAGATGGAGCGAATATTTTTAAATTATATGAAAAATTCCGATAATTTGGATAATTTGGGGAATAGCCGGGAATTAAAAGCTCTTTGAAGTGTCTCACAATCTAAATTTCTCTGGCTCGCAGCCACTGACAAATTCTTAATCTGATCCAGGCAATTTCGAATGATCGATTTTGGAAGTTCAACACAAAACAAAAACAAAACAAAAACAAAAACTAGTGGAGAGAGTGACAAGACCAAGTATCTGAGACCGACCTTCCAAACAAAATTGGACTAGCACTCGCTCTATGAGATGAAGATTTCTACGTCGTAACCTTCAGTGCACTTCCGCGTACACGTACCCAATTCTCTTTCCGATTTCCAAAAAAATTTCGATGTGGTCTTCAGTGTACTCCTTCGTACACTTACCCAAGTCCAAAACTGTTCCACCGTCGTCCGTTTGCCTTTTCTAAATCGCAATTCCACAATTGCAATTCCAGCGTCTCGCCGACCAAAATTGTATCAACCCTAATTTCAACAACAATGACTTCGCAAAACACACAAATTACCCTACCTTATTAGCTACCTAAGAAAAAAAAAAAAAAAACATTAGCAGTTCTAACTACTCACATAAAATTTTCATGCATCAACTAAGTCTACAAATTCGGGGTTTCGTGCACTCGCACACTACGCGTGATTAATGCAAAACGCGAATTATCCAAATGAGATGTCGAAATCGCGACCCTGTCGATAGGTATCGTCGGTCTTAATCCTGAAAGAAATTCCTTTTAATGCTGCGTTCAACTATTGTTATGAAATGATGGATCACTAATTCGTCATTAATTAGTTAAATCTGTCTCTACTGGGCTAAATTAAAAATTAAAGAGCAAAAGAAAAATTAAATGAACCCGAGCTGTTGTGAAAAAGAAACCAATGAACTTTAAGGTCTGAATATCACAAAGAAACTGTATCTATCCCATTGACCGTTTCACTTTCTTTACGAGAACATCTGTTTCTGAAGACGGGTACGCTACGCACCCTTCTAGTGGAATAGTGACCCAATTTTACGCAAAATTTGGAAGAGCAATAAACTCTGGGGGCAATACTACTACTACCGTTCCGAAATTCTCGACAATAATAGGGGTGGTTGACCGATCCGTAGTACCCTATAAACAGCTGGTGGTCTACTTTACGTCGCCCGTCGATCTCGGTACAAATGCGTTTCCCTAAATTTGACTACTAATGTCGTTATTAAACTCTTTTAAATCAAAAATGTGCAATTACTCGGTAAGTCAATTCTTGCGAAATCAAAGGTTCTATCAAAATTCTAACAAAAGAAAAATTTACTCTCTCTATTGTTACTAACAGCTCATATTAACAAATGAAAATCCCGCTTTTTAACGACAAGCAAGAGGTGTTAAACTTGCCGGAGCTTCTGGTAAGAAATTGTAGTGATCTTCTTAAAACGAAAGCAGAAAACAAAAATTGCGCGTTCCTTCCCGATATTCGTTCGCGACAAAATGATTCGAGTGCGTACCTGAGTTAAACCCAATTGATTAACCTCCTCAAGTAGAAGAATATTAAGTACTATCACACACCAAAGTCAGTCTGGACCTTTACTTATCTAATCCCTAAATTACCAATTTCTCTCTCTAATTAACGCTCATGAAAGAAAATGAACACAAATCAAAGCAAAACAAAAATTGCAATTAACATTAGCAAAACAAACCTTTTTTTTTTCTAAATTATCAAATCTTACAAAACATCATTCTCCAGAACTTCTCAATCCTGATTATACTATCATCAAACAACCAAATCTGCTATTGGAGTAAAAATTATGCTTGCTTACTGATAATTAACTCTGTTACTATAATTATTATTACTCTGATTGCTAACAAGATCCGTTACCCTAGCTATAATGACGCTCTGATCGCGAACAATCAAATCTCTCACTATAGTCAGAACTATGCATGATTGTTGCTACTGTTGTCTTTATCAGATATTGTCCAAGCAAAAAGCAAAAAAAAAAATGAATTTCTCAGTACTACCGAAAGTTATTCTAATTCCATCAAATTTTGTCTATTGTATATTTAAAAAAATCTAATTCTTTCAATTAAAAAGTTTTTAAGTACTACCGAAAGTTATTCTAATTCTATCAAATTTTGTCTATTTCGTCAAAAAAATTAATTCTTTCAATTTTAGCAAAAAAAGTTTTAATTTTTCAAATCCTTTAGCTGCCACCATAAATTTGTAACCAGCCTAACTAGGCTGGGGCGTGAGTTATATAAAAAAATAATATTTTGAAAAATTAACTTATCTTTAATCGGGTAGCGTGTTTTAATCTGGTCTTCTACCTGAGAAGTGTTAATCACACATCACAGAAAAATGGGAATTCTCTTACCTTTCGAAACTTCCCTTTTCGCTGCTCGAAGGCACGGAGTCACTCACTAGTACCGCTGTTTCAATGCACTATTATTTTAGACGCAAGGGTCGACCGCAAAGTCCGCAAAAAGAAAGTCAAACGTAGTTGAAAATCGGTCACCCTTATTTATTTACACACACTAATAAATGAATCAAAAATTTACACAAAAACCAAAAGGAACAAGTGGATCACCGCTCACGGTGACTTCCACAAATTTAGAAAATAAAGCAAATGAAAATTTAACACTGAACCAAAAATGAATACTAAGACACTTTGAAGCAAAATTTAAAACAAAGAACGCGACGAGAAGGAACGAGGTGCACACTACAAAATCCCGACCAGAGAACTGACAAAAATTGACCAAACTACTCTTTTTATAATTTCGCCAAGAGTGGAGACTCCACCCGACGTCAAGGGGCTAACAAAGAAAAACCAATGGGATGAAGAAACCCCCTGTGTTGGAAAGAAGTGCTTTCTCGTTCTCTCTCGTCTATACCAGCAAACCGCTCAAATCGCCGTCGATTTACATATTCTTATCAAAAGTCCCTGACAATATCATTTACATTATAAAATAACTCTATCGAACAGCTTTTTGGAGTGGCCACTGGCTCGCGACTTAACTAGGATAGCCAGACATAGATCTCGAACCCATCAAACGTTCTTTTACTTATGACTCGGCTGTTTCTCACAGGTGGAACTGCAAACTTTATTCCACCTGTGGTAGGCTAGATCTATGTCCGTCATCCATCCGAATTTCCAACCTTTTGTTTTCTCAAAACATCTGTACACAGTTATTTACAAAGTGAGGAATCGCATCACGCCATTTCGATAACGGGATCTCTCAAACAAAGCCCTTCTCTGCCTCTGTCCCCATCCATCATGGTCGCTATAAAACTGTGCCGTTTCTTGAAATTCGACAAAAGGGCTAGGCACGCTTGAAACTCAATTTACTTTTTTAACGACTCCCTCGGAAAAGATCGGACATGTGGTACTATAAAGTTAACCCGAGGGTCCAGTGCCACATGCAGAGAGGACAGGATATAGCTAGATGGGACAAAGGAAGTATATGGATCTATTTGTTGGGATTTTCTGGGAAGGTTTGGAAGAAGTGATTTTTAAGGGGTCGTTAACAAGAATTTCGACCCATGATGAACAGCCGAGACAAATCAGCTCGCGACAATGACCTTTTTGAGGTTGCACGTGCACTCGTACAAATGCACTTGTTACAGTAGGTTTTTACGGAATTTCACGGACGTATATTCAGACTTCACCAATATTAATAATGTGAAAAATATTTGCATATAATCCCTTGATCCGGCTTAATTACGAATTCAAGTTATAACTATATTCCAAGCGAAG